GAAATGCAAAACACTTTAAATCCATCTGTTTTCAACAGTAGTGTGATTCAATGTGCAATATACTTGAATAGATAGTGAAAGATTTTCAACATTTCAAAGTTTGAAACACTAGAAATAAACGTGTATAACACATTGAACCAAGGTGAAATAGCGTTAGCGTTAGCGATAGCGTTGTTATGATATACTTCGTAGATTGGATACTAGCAACACTCACGTCTCTTTTGAAATTCTCAGTTAGACTACTTTCAGGAATAATGCTGGGAAGTAAATATTGGTTCCAATCTAAACAAGAGTAACAGAAGCATGACTGTCGCTATTCCCGGCCACGCCCATCTTTACCATAACTACACAGCAAAAAATAATGAATATTACATGACGTGTAAACCAAAACCATTTTAAAATTACATCGCTTTAAACTATGTTTTAGTTTAATTTTACATTAAAAACCATGCACATAATAAAAACATGATGAAACTCATAAAATTACACGTTTATTCGATTAATTTTCTCTTGCAGTGTAATATCACCACGTGATGTAAAAAACTTATAGAAGGACATCGGATTTTCAACGATAAAACCTATGAACTTACATGCTCGTGTAAATTTAAACCAACAAACGTTGAGAAATCTAATATGGCGGACTTTTTTTTCTCCGCTCGGTTTGTTTTGTTTTGTGCGCTCAGTTTTGTTTATGTGGAACGATTTATCGTGCATACCTGTGCATACGCGCGTCCACAAATAGAAAATGGATGACAGACAAAATAGTGATTACAGCGGTTTTATACAGAGAGCACTTTAAGGTCCTGCAGAAAATCAAACATTTGGATATGGAAAAATAGAATAACATTCAAAAATGCGCTCGTGGTTCCTTTTTTCTCCTGTTTGATCGTTTTGATGCAGCGGTGAAAGTGTAGAGTATGTACTGTGCCGTAAGGCGGGTTATTCCACGTGGGTGAATCAGTTCGATTTTATGCAAATTCGTTCAAAAAGCCAAATGCGTGTAATTCTAAATAACCTGTAGAATTACAAAGTGAGCGCATCTAAAGCCATCAATGTAAAATTCAAGTGACGTTTAATTTTACGTGCATGTAAATTTCAAGTCGTGTAAATTAAAAAAAACCAATTTAATTTTACATGAATATGCATGCTCGTTTTATGTGCATGGAAATTCATGTAAAATTACAAAATAATTTTAACTGTGTAGGGATAGGGAAGGAAATGTTGATGTAGTACTTACTTAACGAGATGCCACCGACTTAGCGACACCCTCATAAGTGCTACGGAGTTGGAGGGTTGTGTAGGGTTGGCGATGCAACCAAAAGTATGTATTGCTAATTTGTTGTTTATGTAATCTCTAGACAGCCGGCTATCGAAAGAACATATTCATTTTGTTTAGTGATCATGAATTTTAAGAGTCATGACGGAGAGCTCGGGATTAAACCCATGGTTTTCTGCTCAGTAAGCAACAACGATCCCTCCAGGGTCATCGAGCATCTCAGAACCATAACGCTTCGCGACAATACAGGACTACGTTTTCGCTTGATATGCAAATAGTTTCCGAGGTTAATGTTCAATATCAAATATACAAATGATGATGGCGATTTATTGTGCTGTGGAAGTGCTTGGGATTAAATGCATGATTTTCTGCTCAGTAAGCAAAATCGATCCCTCCAGGGTCATCGAGCATCTCATAATTCACAGCGTTTTGGGCCAAAGTACGAATATATGGATGAACTATCTATTATTGAATAACTATTATTTTTAATTTTTTTTTTTTTTGGGTATCAAGCTGGAGCTGCGTGACCCATTTTTATAAATTTTGCTTCTATCTTTGACAATACAGCAGAAGGACTAGCCTATGTTGGCCGCTTGAGCACTGGATTCCGTATGTATTGTTTCAAGATGGAATTTGTGGAATTTTTTGAGTGTAGGAATTCCCGACACGCCTGCGTAAACCAACATAACAAAGAAGTCTTACCCTGCCCGATGTTGATGTTGGTTTACGTGGTCGTGTCTTACTTTTTTTCTACCGAGCTCGGCTGTGCAAACCTTTTCAAAAATAAGTTTCACTGAGATCTCAGCAAAAGTGACATTTGATTGCTGAGTCTTGGACAAAGCTTAGCTTTCATTTGTTTGCTGAGACCTCAGTAAAACTTGTTTTGCCGAGGTTTGCACAGCCGAGCTCGGTGGAAAAAAACTAATTGTGAACCATTGTTTACACAAGCTGTATGGCCCTTATTCTAGCACTATCCAGAATTATTCGGCGAAAGAGACATTTTAACAAATAATGAGACTCAGCTTATGTTTCGCGTTTCGACTGAAATTGTTTAATGTTTTCGGATTTTTTTTACTGTTGCGATCTAATTGTAAATCATTTACAAATGCTTATGGGTCATTCCACGCCAAGTGATCACAAGAATATGCAGAATTGAAATCAACCTTCTTGTATTTGTTCAAAAATGAATGGCATTCACTCATTTTGGGTCAAAATATTCATTTGATTCAGATGGTTAGACCACCCCTTTGATCAAGCGCCCATCTCTCTTTTTTCAAAATTTTCAACAACATGCTTTTTTCAAAGGTCGATCTAACCTTGACAAATGAGCTACAGAAAATTTTAGCGACCGTTTTAAGCTTGAAATTTTGGAAGAAATCTTAACTTTGTTTTGTCTGCTTTTAACAGTGTCGCCAACTTTGTTATTTTTGGAAAAAAAATATTTAAGTAACGCATTTTTCACTAAACAGAGGAAAAGGATGTAATGTCGGCCTAAATGCCCCTAACTTGGGCCCATACATAAATTCAACAATCGACTAAATTTTCAATGGCGACTAAAAATATCCATTAATACCTTCCCAAAAATTGATAAATAGCAGATTTTTAGCGATCCTAAGGCCAACATTAGAGCCATTTCCCCTATATGTATTTTTTTTTTATTTCGATTTCTTAGCAGAATCGTGTTCTTCAGACTTTTCTAGAATACTCATCGACCCAAACAGAGCCCGAGATTTGAGCTCTAGAAAATTTGAAGTGATTGGGGATATCAGCCATCATGACGGTCATTTTTGGACTCTTCAACAAATCTCCTTAAACCAAAGTAATGTAAATACAACATAGAAAACGATGTAGAAAAACTTAATGTCAAACTCGTTGCATAAAAAAAAAACATTTCAAAAACTATTGTTCTGCGATTTTGCTCAAGTTTCCAGCATAAAATTCTAACAATATTAATTTAAATTATCTTTTTTTAATGAAGAATAATGACCTTATTATTATTCAAGCTAACAATACTTTATCGGGTTTTTTTTTACCCAAATTTACTAAAAACAATCTGCATATATTTTCCTGAAAAAAAAACATCATTTTTTGTATTAAATTTATTTCAGGCGTGATTACAAATAGAATTGATGTTTTTAAACTATGTCTTCAAATATTTATTACGCTATTAAAAAACAGATTGAAAATGCCCGAAACTCAGACCATGAATAAAAACTAATCTGCAAAGTTTTATGCAAATCGGAGAAGGCCGAGTCTGAAATATATTTATGTTTTGCGCGATTTTGATCCATAAAAATGTTGAGTCGTGTTTTGATCTACTTTACATTGTGAAACAAATGTTGAGCCTCAATGCTCAAGAACGATATTTGCGGTATGACTCTTTTTCTTCAACCAAAATGGATACCTTTCTGGTTTATCTCAAATTCCAGAGAGTAGGTTGGATCATTTATTTTTTTCTCTTAATTGCATGAAACCTAATTGTATGCTATGGTCAATCATTAGCATTTCTGCGAAAATTCGGCCAATTGATTTTAATGGCGTATTCGAAATTTTTCAATAAATCGTAGCACGAAAAAGTCACATCTGACCAGATGCTATTTAAAAAAAATCAGCCTAAATAAGTGCACTTATACTCGTAGCTAATGATAAAAGTCGTCAGGCTTTCCAATCCATAAAGATCCCCGATTGAACCGGCATGATATGCTCAATAACCGAGCCTTTACTGTCTGTGCTAACGAGAAACACCCAAGCTCGTACAACGTGCAATTGCATTTTTACCGTTCTCATTCCCACACCCACGCGGCAGAGAACATCCACTTTCAAGGTTAGTGTCAACTGCAGCCCCACGAGCGACGTCCTATAACTCGGTAATGTGTCACCAAGCCATAGATACATTCAACCAACCGAGTAAAGATGCATTTCTGCTCAAAAACAATACATCAGATCCGCGACTGATAACAATTCCCGAACAACAATTGCTACTGCACCTACTGATGTGGGTACTGTTGGGAAGATTTCCTCGGAAAGATTGCTAATTGCGAAGAAGAATCCAAGAAATGTCGCCAGCAGAGTGAAGCTACCTACTGCTGCGCATAATTGAATTGTCTACTTCCGCTGCTTAATTGCGACAAATGGAACTCTGGTGCAGACTGCATCGCAGTGCACGCGTTGCGATTGTCGATAACCCAGATTTTCCGCGATGGGTATGGTGGATTATAGCAATTTGTCTACTTTTAACCAGGAGAAACCGTGTAAGGAACGAGCAAGATCTCTTTCGTCATGTCTGACGTTCTTGATCTTAGCAGCAGTGGCTATAGCTTTCACTTTTCTCAAAGTCCATAAACCAACCGATAAATTGAGTGGCTTTACAGAGGCAGCGAGCCGCGTCTAAAAACCGGCGCATTCTCTCAAGGCAACCTGTATCTCGGCTATTCGAACGAATGTCGCAAATCATTCCACTCGAAGATTGCGCTACGAGACCTTTGCTACTGCCATATGCCGCAGCAGCTTACTCATAAAAGTGATTCAGAGTAGCTAGCGATGAAAAAGAAACCTGCCCGACTTATACAACCCAATTTTCGGCTCAGATCCAATTCACATCACTTTACCTACCCACACACACACACATACAAACACAAAAACACAAAAACACGTGAATATCTACTTGCAAATTTGAACATGTGGCTGGAAGGATGGGATAATAATGGAGCTCGGTAATACTTACGTTAATGGCATCGATTAATCCGAAAATCACAAATAACGACAACGCGGCCGTTATGAGTAGTTTGCTCCACCTCATCTCATCGGATGGTTAGCACTGCGGCCCACGGGGCCCCGAACGGTGGGACGGTTGGATGCTGCAAAGGAAAGCGAAAAAATGAAACAAACAGTTAGTGAAACAATCCACTGAAACGGCTACCTACATGATTGCAATCGCAGATTCAGTCCAGATTGAAATTTTTCGACACTTTCTCCAATCAATTGTGACAGGGGCAACCGAAAATTTCCCAAGCTTGTAATAGTAAATTTTGTGTCTTATTACGATTGAATTTAAACTACCGTCAGAATAATCACGCAATTTCGTAACTTCAAGCATGGAAAGTTTGAAAATTACTTAACTAGGGAATTTTTGCCAGAAATTTAATAAGCCGGTACGTTGTGGACAATACCCTTAACTGGAAAACAAACACTAGCGAATCTAATCCGGTTCAATTACACAACGTTTGTATGTAGCCGCAGACACTACTGTTCGCGACGGGAAAATTAAAACACAAAATAAAATGAAACGTAAAGTAATAGGAGTAAAACGACACGCATAGAGTTGGCCAGTCAACGTGATCTTGTTGAGATAAACAGCTACGGTTTGAATGCATAAACAGATTTAGTTAACCATCAAGCAAATTTGTACGGTTGAGTCGGATGAGAAACGTGTCGGTGTCCATGTTTCAAATGAATGGCCATTTATTATTTCTTTTGCTTTTCGGTTTGGCTTCTCTCCTATTTGCTTCCGGAGAAGAGGATTATTTGCCACAACACTGCGCACAGTGGAGGTTTCGGAAGCGAAAAGGATTATGATTGGCTGCCGCTGAAATCCAAATATGAAATATGTTTTCATTTAGGTAAAAGGATCAGGGAATCTTTTTTACACAATTTCATTCGGCGCATGCTTTGCCGGAACAAATCCGTTTCCTTTTTCATGAATAAAAAATCATGAAATTAAAAAAATTGCTTTCCCACGAAATCATGACAATGATCCATGATTTCATGATGGAAATTTACGATTTCATAATGCAGCGGAATCATGCCCACTACAAGCATTACACGGTGCTATGTTTTGAACCTGAGTTCCAAATTGTGCACGAAGTTTGGAATTGGAGTTGAGGAGGTCAAGAACAAGAGAACTGCTTTCAGGTTCCACCATGAATTCCCGTTTGTTGGCTGAGCGGAACGAGCTTGCAGTAGCTACCGTGGCAGATGGACATGTTTTCAAAGGAGAGCACGCAAGCTACAATCAACCAGTTCACTGTATTGCTCAAGAACCAATTTGTCGCTTCTGAATCGCAACTAAAATCGCATTTCAAGAATGGTCAATCAACGAACGTTGAAACTTTATCAGAAGTGAAGTAGGGGTATTTCAAATAAATTCTAGAAGTCTGGACCAGTTCATGTTGATCCTCGTTGACCGTCTACGACTGGTACTATTACCACCGACGAACCGACATGCCACTGGAGCATTTCGTTTGTCCGCAATTCGATTTGTCAAATGAGCGATTTGATCTGTCAAACGGGCGATCAGATCTGTCAAACGAGGTGAGACGCAAACCAAGTCAATATAAATTTTACGTGTGTTCGTGTCCTTGCTCATAATATGTCGCGATCGGATGAGTAAGTTACCTTACCTTACCAATCAGGCTAAGGCCTTGTTGTCCTCTGCTGTCCGAAGAAGTCGTCTCCACTCTACTCGATCCATGGCCACAGTTCGCCAGCCTCGTAGTCTGCGAAGGGTCCGCAGGTCACCTTCTACTTGGTCGATCCACCTTGCCCACTGCGCGCCTCTTCTTCTTATTCCTGTTGGGTCGCTTTCTAGAACCATTTTCACTGGGTCGTCGTGCGGCATTCTTACGACGTGCCCAGCCCACCGTAGTCGCACAATTTTTGCAATGTGGACGATGGATGGTTCTCCCAGCAGCTGGTGCAATTCGTGGTTCATTCGCCTCCTCCACGTTCCGTCATCCATCTGCACTCCACCGTAGATGGTACGCAACACCTTCCGTTCGAAAACACCAAGGGCGCGTTGGTCCTCCACGAGCATAGTCCAGGTCTCGTGGCCGTAAAGGACCACCGGTTCAATCAGCGTCTTGTAGACAGTCAACTTCGTGCGGCGGCGAATTTTATTCGACCGGAGCGTCCTCCGGAGTCCAAAGTAGGCACGATTCCCTGCCATAATGCGTCTTTGAATTTCTCTGCTGGTATCATTTTCGGCGGTCACCAGTGAGCCCAAATACACGAACTCATCGACCACCTCGATTTCGTCACCGTCAATCTGAACTCGGGGTGGGAGGCTAACATTGTCTTCCCTAGAACCTCTTCCTTTCATGTATTTTGTCTTTGATGCGTTGATGGCAAGTCCAATCCGTCTAGCTTCAGCCTTCAGTCTGATGTACGTTTCGGCCATCATCTCAAAGTTCCGTGCCATAATGTCAATGTCATCGGCGAAGCCTAGGAGCTAGATGGACTTCCTGAATATCGTGCCACTCGTGTCTATCCCAGCTCTTCTGATCACACCTTCTAACGCGATGTTGAACAGCAGACACGAAAGTCCATCACCCTGCCGTAACCCCCTTCGAGATTCAAAGGGACTCGAGAGTGTCCCCGATACTCTAACAATGCACATCACTCGATCCATCGTCGCCTTAACCAATCGCGTCAGTTTATCCGGGAGTCCGTACTCGTGCATAATCTGCCATAGCTGATCTCGATCGATTGTGTCGTATGCGGATTTGAAATCTATGAACAATGTGTGGTCACGTTGTATTCGCGGCATTTCTGCAGAACCTGCCGAATCGCGAAAATTTGGTCCGTTTGGTTTGGCGCGGGAACCCATGAATCCCGCCTGGTATTGCCCCACGAACTCTCTTGACAGACGGCGGCATAGAATTTGGGAGAGTACCTTGTAGGCGGCGCTCAGCAGTGTGATCGCGCGGTAGTTGCAGCAATCCAACTTGTCGCCCTTTTTGTAGATTGGGCATACGACACCTTCCATCCACTCCTCAGGTAATATCTCCTCCTCCCAAATCTTGGCAATTACCCAGTGCAGCGCTCTAGCCAGTGCTTCACCACCGTATTTTAATAGCTCACTTGGTAGTTGATCTACACCAGTTGCTTTGTTGTTCTTCAGCCGACCGATCTCCTCCTCAACTTCTTGAAGATCGGGGGCCGGTAGCCTGTCGTCTTCTGCGCGTGCTTCAAGGTCTGTTGCCGTGCCACCTTCGTTTTCTGCTGCTTCACCGTTGAGGTGCTCGTCATAGTACTGCTTCTACCTCTCAATCACCTCACACTCGTTCGTGAGAAGGTTACCGTCCAAGTCCTTGCACATATCGGCTTGCGGCACGTAGCCTTTGCGCGAACTATTTAGCTTCTCGTAGAACTTCCGTGTGTCGTTTACGCGGTACAGATTTTCCATCGCCTCGCGATCTCGGTCTTCCTGCTGACGCTTCTTCCTTCGGAAAACCGAGTTTTGTCTATTCCGCGCTTGTCTGTATCGCTCCACATTCAATCTCGTGCGATGTTGCAGCATTCTCGCCCGTGCTGCATTCTTCTCCTCTACTAACAGTTTGCATTCGCCGTCAAACCAGTCATTTCTTCGGTCCGGGATTGCAGTACCTAGTGCCGCTACAGCAGTACTACCTATGGCTGAACGGATGTCCCTCCAGCCATCTTCAAGAGAAGCTGCGCCAAGCTGCTCTTCCGTGGGTAGTGCAACTTCCAGCTGCTGCGCGTATTCCTGGGCAACTCCGGCGTCCCGGTGTTATGCACCGTCGAGAGTTTTGAGCGCATGCATACTGCAACTAGGTAGTGGTCCGAATCTATGTTCGCACTGCGGTACGTGCGGACGTTGATAATGTCGGAGAAGAATTTTCCGTCGATTAGAACGTGATCGATTTGGTTTTCTGTGTGTTGGTCAGGTGATCTCCAGGTGGCTTTGTGGATATCCTTGCGGGGGAAAAAGGTACTTCGAACTACCATACCCCGGAAGGCTGCAAAGTTCACGCATCGTTGGCCGTTGTCGTTGTATAAACTCTCCATATCTTGATATATGACCACTTTTTTCAATATATCTTTATGGTTATCTCGCCCTTTTAAACGGTAGGTCTAGTAGGCTAATATTGTTCTATATCTCGATCTCTCCATATCTCGTGTTGAGTGGGATTTTAGCGGCAGCCAATTTTGTTCCTAAAATCCCCACTGTGAAACGTAGTGTTTAAAAGTGTAATTCTATATCAGATCTTTCACTAACAATTCAAGTTATTCAATCAAAGCTTAATAGCTTAAAGGAATCATAAGATACAGCTATTGTTTAGTTGAAAAAGTTGCACGTATGAATTGTTGAGATATTGTTTAAAATCGAATACTGCTTCTTGATTCTAAATTCGTTCTACGAGTTTCAATTGGAACGCCATTGGATTTTCTTCGTCCTACGGATAAACGTAGAAAAAAGGGATTCGCTGGGTGCGCTTCTTTTGTTTTGAGAACAATGAGCGTAAATACAGTCAGGAATCCTTATTGCCGGGGTAACGGGGGCGTGAATACCCAAGTAACATTGCAAGCTTTATAGAGGTTTTATAGCATTCTACAAGTCTAAATCATGGTCTACAGAACCTTCATAAAACCAAAATTGTTACTTGGGTAAGGAACCGCGAATAACGATACCCACAGCTTATGGGATTTTCACTAATAGGGGCTGTGGTGGATTATCTCATTTGTTACAATATATAGAGCTATACTGTCTTGGACAAAATTGTTGTACTGAGATAGACCAACAAGCCTGTGTCATTGGATTCAGGTTTAATTAGGAACTACGCCGCTAGAGGCACTTCACTTTTATGTTACTTATGACGGGCGATATAACAAAGTTGTTTAAGTGACCAAGTCCTTTCGGTTGGTGGGCATAATAGTTCAGAACTCTCTCAATACGCAGCGCTAGTGTGCACATGAGCTTCCTATATAAGCTGTATCTCAAAATCCTGGCCATATAGAACGTTATTGTCTTGAGCAAAGTTGTTCAGGTGGCCAAGTCCTTTCGGATGGTGGTCATATTATTTAAGAACTCTCTAACTACGCTGCGCTAGTGTGCACA